CTGGATATTTATATCATATTGAAAGAAATTATGTTACCATGTCAAATTAGTGGAGAAAAAGAAAGATTACAACAACTATTTGCATTGGAACGAATGAGTAGCCGCTTGGAGAATGCAGTTAGATCATAATTTCAGATCTTAAACAAATTATATATAAAGTTTTTAAAATAAAAAAGAAACTAAAAAAAAGCACTAAATTATCAGTCAATATCGAGGCATGGCCTCAAAGTTAGAATCACACAACAAAGATTGAAGACTTATATATACTTAAATATATATAATGTTTACATTTGTATTTAAAATACCTGTTGTCAAAAATAGAAATTGTGTATTGTAAAATAGTTGTAACCTATATGACAAAGAGTTGACATTGTTAACTTTAAAAAGCATTTTAATAAATCAAAGAAATGTTGAAACCCCAATATAAAAGTGGAATAAGGTTATAAACACGCAGTTCACAGAAGTGGCATTCAAATGGCCGATTCAAGTATAAAAAGAATTTTCAACCTCATTAGTAACCAAAGAAAAGAACACGAAAGCCACACTGATATAGCATTTTGTTTTGTTTTGTTTGAGACAGAGTCTAGCTCTGTTGCCCAGGCTGGAGTGCGGTGGCCTGATCTCGGCTCACTGCAACCTCTGCTACCTGGGTTCAAGGGATTCAGGAGCAATTTGTGCCTCAGCCTCCTGAGTAGCTGGGATTACAGGTGTGTACGACCACAGCATGCTAATTTTGGATTTTTAATAAAGATGAGTTTTCGCCATGTTAGCCAGGCTGGTCTTGAACTCTTGGTTTCAAGCGATCCCCTCGCCTTGGTCTCCCAAAGTACTGGGATTACAGGAATGAGCCACTGCGTCCAGCCTCATCTATCATTTTGGATCTATCATATTGGCCAAAATGGGAACTCGCTTTCTGAAGGACAACATGTCTATTTACACACACAGAAAGTCTTTAAATTGCACACATGCTACTACGGTTTGAATGTTTGCGTCCCCTCCATAATTCATGTTGAAACTTAATCCTCAGTGTAACAGTGTTAAGCAGTGTGGCCTTTAGGAGGTGATTGAGTCATGAGGACTCTGCCCTCATGATGGGGTTAGGCACCTTTATAAAAGGTCTTGACACAGGGAATTTGCCTTTTTTTGCCCTTTCCTTCCCTTCCTCCATGTGAGGACACAGCCAGAAGATCCAATAACAAGGCACCATCTTGGAAGCAGAGACAGGGCTCTCACCAGACACCAGTCCTGCTGGTGCCTTGATCTTGGAAGTCCCAGCTGCCAGAACTGTAAGAAATAAATTTCTGGTTTTTATAAATTACCTAGTCTAAGTTATTCTGTTATAGCAGTACAAAGGGACTAACACAAATGCCAATTGCTCCAGAAATTTCACTTTAGAGAATTTATTCTCAAGAAAATGTGGCCGTACCCAGTGGCTCGCCCCTGTAATCCCAGCACTTTGGAAGGCCGAGGCGGGCAGAACATCTGAGGTCATGAGTTCGAGACTAGCCTGGCCAACATGGTGAATCCCCATCTCTACTAAAAATACAAACATTAGCTAGGTATGGTGGCACATGCCTGTAGTCCCAGCTACTCAGGAGGCTAAGGCAGGAGAACTGCTTGAACCCGGAAGGTGGACGTTGCAATGAGCCGAGATCGTGCCACCACACTCCAGCCTAAGTGACGGCAAGACTCCATCATCTCAAAAAAAAAAAAAAAAAAACAGCTGAGTGTGGTAGCAGATGCCTGTGATCCAAGCTCCTTGGGAGGCTAAGACAGGAGGCAGAGGTTGCAGCAAGCCAAGATTGCACCATTGCACTCCAGCCTGGGCAACAAGAGCAAAATTGCATCTCAAAAAAAAAAAAAAAAAAAAGAAGAAAAGAAAGAAAGAAAGAAAGAAAGAAAATATCAGCAAAGATATGTACAGGGATAGTCATCATAGCACTATTCAAACCAGGGAAAACAAACTATGTGTCCAAGAGAGGTGCTGGCTGAGAAATGTATTTGTTGAGTAGAGTCCTACAAAGTTCCTGAAATTTATAGAAGAATATTGACATGTATTTATACACACTGTGTTTTATATAGAGACAACTATATCAATCCTAGTAGCATGGCATTATAGGACATTTTTTCTTCATATTTTGTGTGCATATGTGTGGTTTAATTTTCTGGGTTCAGCTCATGTTACTTTTGTAATTAAAGACTAGCAGAATAAGGCTGAGTGCTGCGGCTCACATCTATAATCTCAATAATTTGGGAGGCGAAGGTAGGAGGATTATTTAAGTTCAAGACTTTGAGACCAGCCTGGGCAACAAAGCAAGACCTTGTCTCTAGTAAAAATAAAAAATAAAAGATCGGCAGAACACTTACTGTGACAGAATATTTCAGGCTTTCAAAGGAGAGAGAGAGAACACCTAACCATTACTACTCAAAATGGTCCTCAAATGGAACAAGAGCTCTCTGCTGACGGAGAAGACCCCCAGACCCTCCTCTAGGAGGACAAACTCACTGATTGATATGGTTTGGATCTGTGAGATCTGGTGGAGAACAAATCTCAAATCAAATTGTAATCCCCTATGTTGGAAGTAGGGACGGGTGGGAGGTGGTTGGATCATGGTGGTGAATTTCTCATGAATGTTTAGGACCGGAATCCCCCTTGGTTCTGTCCTCATGAGAGTGAGTTCTCATTAGATCTGTTTTCTAGCACCTCCCTGCCTCACTCTCTAGCTCTTGCTCCTGTCATGTGAGATATGCCTTTTCCTTCTGCCATGATTAGAAGCTTCCTGAAGCCTCCCCCAAAGCAGAAGCCACTATGATTTTCCTGTGCAGCCTGCAGAACTATGAGCCAATTAAACCTCTTTTCTTTACAAATTACCCAAGTGTAGGTATTTCCTTATAGCAGTGCAAGAATAGACTAATACATTGATTTTAAAGTAACTGACATCTTGCAGTTTGTGGAAGGAGGTAAACTTTCAGTAGATGGAGAACGTTGGGGAACCCTAGGCTGAGCAAGAGAAGAGGTGAGACGACTGGAGAAGGCTGGCTGATGGGATCGATGTGTCTGAGGAAAGGAAGTCTTAAATCAGGCAACAGAGACGGGAAGATCTGCTTCACTCACTTCCTCATTCAATCTTACACTCAGGAATTCTCCCAATCCCGAGTTCTTCTGACTCTTCCTAAATGTCCCCTATTTTAATACAGAGTGTCAACATCCATATCCTGGGTCCTTAACCCTCCTTTTCCTTCATCTGCCCACATCCAGTCAATCATGATTGATTCTACAACCAAACTGCCTCTCAAAGCGAACCGCATTTTCCCATTCCCACTGCCACTATCCTAGTCCAACTCATCTCGACCATGAAAACAGCCCCAAACCTTCTCTCTGACCGTTATCCATCTACCTGAGTGAGTTTTGTAAACATAAATCTATTCTGGCGGCTTCCTGGACCCTTAGGATAAAGTCCTTACCAGAGTTGACAAGGCTCTTTGTGATCTGGTCCTATCTCTTGGGAACTTGCCCCGTCCCCACTCCTACTTGAGCCACATCCAGCCATATTCAGCTTCTCTACTTCTCAGAATGTAGTGTTCTGTCTAAGGGAAAACACTCTTTCATCTGGCCAACTTGTTCTCATTTTCCTAATCCCAGCTTAAATGATTTTCCCTTAGGGAAGGCTTCCCTCACCCCTAAGATTGGGATAGATGCCTATGTTATTTAGTTCCCTCTATTTCCCCTTTTGTAACAAACATCACAGATAAGCCAGGCACAGTGGCTCACATATGTAATCCCAGCACTTTTAGAGGCCAAGGCTGTCAGATCACTTGAGCTCATAAGTTCAAGACCATCCTGGGCAACATGGGAAAACCCCATCACTACAAAAAATATAAAAAGTGCTGGGCATGGTGGTGCACACCTCTAGTCCCAGCTACTCGGTAGGATCAGGTGGGAGGATCACTTGAGCCTGGGGCTCAAGGCTGCAGTGAGCTATGATCACAACATTGCACTCCAGCCTGGGCGACAGAGTAAGACCCTGTCTCAAAGCAAACACACACACACACACCCCATAGATGTCTTGTCTTCCCCTCTCAAATCTGATCACCATGACAGGGATTGTGGCTGTCTTTCTGATCACAGTGTGCCAGTGGCTAGCAAAATGGCTGGCGCATAACAGATACTGAATAAATGGGTATTAAATTGGATTCACTTGGCTCCTTTGTTTGTCCTTTTTTCTTTCCTTTTTCTTCTTGAGTCGCAGTTGCCAGCACAATGTAGCCCTCTGATAATAGGCAGAACAAGCAGAAGAGCTAGCTTACTTCATTAAAATCTGGGCAGAGGGGTGTGTGTGTGTGTGTGTGTGTGTGTGTGTGTGTGTGTGTGTGTCTCTCTCTCTCTCTCTCTCTCTCTCTCTCTCTCTCTCTCTCTCCCCACTGGCCAAAGAAGTAACAGAGTCAAGGTAGGCTAAAGATTCCTTGTAGAGCCAGCAACTCCATTCAAAAGAGCCAGACTGTGTGTCAAAAACAAAACAAAAAAAATAAATCATGTGCTTGTACTGGGATTGAAGGTTAATAAAAGACTGGACTTTTAATGGCATAGATGAAAAAATAAACTAAAAACATGTCATTTGTTCCAACCAAATTTGACAACTTAAAACCAAGTAAAACAGTGGCCTCTTTTAAAAGAGTAAACTATTTAAATTTCATGAAAACCATTTTTAAAGGCATAGAATTCAAATATCTCCCCTCTTCTCCACACAGATAATGCCTTACAGTTCAGAATCTCTCCTCTGATTGTGACTAAGGGATGAGCCACTCCCATAGTGCCAGTCCTCAGTGAGAAACGGGAGCCTCTCCGGGTATTAGTTTTCTCTCTTTCTCTAAAAAGCCAATCATTTAGATAATCTAGGAGGAGGATAAAGTATTTGTACTGACATCCCTGCCTCTTGCTGCTGTCTGCAAAAAGCTACCATGAACACTGTTTCCAACTGAAACCATCGGGTTGAACTTACCCTCTACTGCAGATTATCTCTAGGGCTTCCAAGTTCCCATGGTAGGCTGCTAAGAGAGCGGGAGTCATGCCATCTTCATCGGAAAGATTTAGATCTCGCTTGGTAGCCTCTTTTAGAAGTTCCAGGTAACTATCACTAGCAGCTTGGTGGTAACGAGTAGACATTTTTTCTGCTCACCAGAACTTGGCCAGATGTCTCTCCAGGCAGAGCAGGGTGTTGGCAGAGCAACCTTCCTACAGAGCTAGTTAATCAGTGACAAGGAAGAGTGTCACTGGGGCAAAGCTCATTCCAGCTTCCTTTCATGGAAGGCAACAAGGTTCGAGGCACTGAACTTGGACCTTTTCTCTCTGAAATGGCCATGACGTTGACTACTGAAGACTGCTGTATTCATCATGAGTGTTTTGAGGCACACTTAATTTTTCTATGTCCATTAGTTTCTTGAGTGTGATACTGGTCATCTAGGCACAGAATGTAAGAAATTTCTTTTAAAAATGCAGAGCTAGTCTAGTTCACTGTTTTTATTTCCAAAAATAACAGCTTTATTGAGGTATACCACTAAATTCACCCGTTTTATGTATACAATTCAATTCAATGATTTTTAGGACATTTATAGAGTTGCATACCCATTATCATAATTTCCATCAACCCTCAAAGATCCCTCATGCCATTTGCAGTCAATCCCATTTCCACTCCCAACCCCAGGAAACCACTGGTTTGCTTTCTGTCTCTATAGATTTGTGGGTTGGTTGGTTTGTTTTGAGACAGAGCCTTGCTCTGTTGCCAGACTGGAGTGCAGCAGTGCAATCTCAGCTCACTGCAACCTCCACCTCCCGGGTTCAAGCAGTTCTCTTGCCTCAGCCTCCCGAGTAGCTGGGACTACAGGCACACATCCCCACACCCAGCTAATTTTTTTTTTTTTTTTTTTTTTTTTAGTAGAGACGGGGTTTTACCATGTTGGCCAGCATGGTCTTGATCTCTCAACCTCATGATCTGCCTGCCTCGGCCTCCCAAAATGCTGGGATTACAGGCATGAGCCACTGTGCCTGCCTATAGATTTGTTTTTTATAGGCATTTCAGATAAATGAAATCCTACAATATACAGTCTTCATTATATAGCTTTTTTCAATTCATACTTTTTTGAGGGTTGTTCATATGTAGCATGTACAGTAGTTCCTTTCTTTTTACTGCTAAGTAATATTCTACTGTCCTGGCATACCAAATGTTCTTCATCCATTCAACGTTTGATGACTGTGATGAATATTTGGGTTGTTTCCATTTTTTAGCATTGATGAATAATGCTAGTATGAACACTGATATACAAGTCTCTGTGTGAACACATATTTTCATATGTCTTACATATATATCAAGGAGTGAAACTGCTGGGTTACATGGCAATTTACATTTAGATTTCAGAAGTTGACAAACTTTTCAAAGTGGCTATATGACTTCATATTTCTACCAATAATGTATGAGGGTTTCAGTTTTTCCACATCCTTGCCAGCTCTTATTATTGCTTATCTTTTTGTTTATGGCCATCCTAGTGGGTGTGAAGTGATATTACTGTGGTTTTAATTTACAATTCCCTAATGACTAAGATATTGAGCATCTTTTCACGTGCCTATTAGCCATTCTTACATCTTCTATTCAAATCTTTTTGCCCAATTTTAATTAGGTTGTCTTATTAATAAATTATAAGAATTATTTATATACTCTAAATACAAGTCCTATATCAGATATATTTTGGATAGAATGAAAATGAAAATACCACATATCAAGATTTAGAGGATGCAGTTAAAGAAAAGCTTAGGACAAAATTTGTAGCTTTTTATGCATATATGAGAAAGAAAAAAGATCTCAAATCAGTAACTTAAACTTATCAATAACTCAAAGGAAGGAGATAAAGTATAGAAAAATGAGTATAAATAAAGAGTACAATATAAGACAAGGAAATTTCCAGAGCTATATGCAATAAAAACAAAAGAAAATGGACTAAATTTATGATGTGAAAGACTCAGCCATGTCTTGTTTATAATAGACACACTGAAAATATAAAATTGCAGAAAGACTGAAAGCAAAAAATGGAAAAGTTATAGCAAGTAAATACTAACAAAACATTGGTGTACCCATATAGATGGTCTGCAACTTATGGGAGTTTGACCTAATTTTTCAACTTTATGATGGTGCAAAAATGATATGAATTTAGTGCTTCTCAGCTCACAACTGAGTTATCATATTAACTTACGGTGGGTTTGCATTGTAAGTTGAGGAGCAGTTGTATTGGTAGCAAGGGAAAATATAGCTTAAGCCAAAAAAATTTACTAGGCATAAAGAGAGATAATACATAATAATGAAAGGAACAATTAATCAAGAAACTATGATAGTTTTAAACTGGTAGAAATTGAATAACATCGCTGCAAAAAAGGGAAAGCAAAAATTAAACAGAAAAAACTAACCCACAATCATAGGGGAAGATTTAAGATACCATCATAGCGTTCCACATCAGATTAAAAATTGGTATAGATATAGAAGATTTGAGCACAATTAACAAGCTTCATCTAATAGTTGCATAGAGAAAGGACCCTGTAACCCATAGTAAATTCATGTTTTTTCTAAGCACACATAGAGCATTTATAAAACCTGACCACTAGGCCAGGCGCAGCGGCTCCTGCCTGTAATCCCAGCACTTTGAGAGACTGAGGCAGGCGGATCACAAATTCAGGAGTTCGAGACCAGCCTGGCCAACATAATGAAACCTCGTTTATACTAAAAATACAAAAATTAGCTGGGTGTGATGGTGCGTGCCTGTAGTCCCAGCTACAGGAGGCAGAGGCAGGAGAATCCCTTGAACCCAGGAGGTGGAGGTTGCAGTGAGCCGAAAATACACCACTGCACTCCAGCCTGGGTGACAGAGTGAGACTCTGTCTCAAAAAGCAAAAAAAAAAAAAAAAAAAAAAAAAGCAAAAAACCAAACCAAACCAAAACAAAAAAACCTTATCACTGAATAGAGCCCATGCAGTTCTCAACAAATAACAAATAACCACGTTCATGCAAATCGTGTTCTCTGAAGACACTACAACTAAATTAGAAACATCATCCTTACATAACTCATCAACTATGCATATATCCTCCCGTGGTGTATTTTGTACATTGTTTTCATCAAATACATATAATTTTACATTGTCTTTTCCACTCTTTAATCCATCATAAATATATTCCCATATTATTACACAATCTTTAATATATTTGGATAATTGTCCACTAAATTGATGTGAAAAATATCTATTTTTGAAGTCTGTAACTGTGTATTCCTCTTATCTCTTTTTGTCTAAGTCTTTATTCCAAGATAAATTATTTACCCACTCAAAAAAAGTATAAAGAAATAAGCTCCAAGGGTCACTGTTTGTTCCTTTTTCTGGCTTCTAGGTGAACAGCAGTAGAAGCAGCCTGGAGGGCAGCATTATTTAGCTTTTTTTAAAACATTCTTTTTAGCCCAGAGAGAGGGACATATCCAAACATGATGGTGAATACTTGGAGAAAACAGTAAGGTTGTTCCTCAATTTTTGCATGAGCCACTTTAATTTAGATACAACTGCATTCATTAATGCACTTTGAAATTTAAAAATAGGGCAGGTGCGGTGGCTCACTCCTGTAATCCCAATACTTTGGGAAGCCAGGGCAGATGGATCACTTGAGGTTAGGAGTTCAAGACTAGCTTGTCCAACATGGCGAAGCCCTGTCTCTACTAAAATAAAAAATTAGTTGGGCATGGTGGCGCACACCTGTAAGCTGAGGCAGGAGAATCACTTGAACCTGGGAGGCTGAGGTTGCAGTGAGCTGATATCACACACTGCACTCCAGCCTGGGTGACAGAGCAAGACTGTCTCAAAATAATAATAAAAAATATATACATAACCCGAGAGAGAACTTCTGAAAGATGTATTATTTATAGTAGTATCCTAAGACTCCAACCAAAGGGTCAGCTATCAGAAAAAGATGATGAGGAAGAGGAGCAGGAAGAGAAGAATGGCGGCCACTAGGATGGCCATCAACAAAATGAGGATGAGGAGGAAGATTGTCAAAGTCAAAAATCTAGAGCTGAATCTCTAAATTTAATGTTTTATTTGGAAAAAGATTTGCAATTTGAGATACATACATAGGCCAGGTGGTCTTCAGTATGTCTAAAGAACAAAGAGAAGTTCAGAGGTTTTATTAAAAAGAGAAATGTTACATATTGCTCTTCAAGAAAGTTCATTGGCACTAGTAAGGGTTTGGAGAGCCGGCAAGTCTAGTGGGCAAAATTAGTCCTAGAGTTGCAGCAAGTTATCTCAGCAGCTGTGTATAAAAAACTTCTCTGGGGTTATAGCAGGCAGTCCCAGCAGTCAATCTTGCAGAGAATTACATTCTTGGAGCAATTTCTTTTTTGTACTCAGAGTGCTACCCCACCGCCTCTGCCACCCAGCCCCTCAACCCTGATTTAGTTGGGTATAACAAGAATGACACAATTTACATGACTAACTTTCACGGGATGGAGGCAAAGGGTAAAGAGGACAGAATGATTATAGGTATGAGGAAGAAGGATTGGAGACAGAAGACAAGAAAGAGAAAGAATTTCTTAGCTCCAACAGTACTTAAGACTTGAAGTCTCCTGTGAAATGGTGAAATATATGAACTTTCCTTAAATGGTAAATATCCTGGCATCCTCTAGCACTTCCTTGGGATAACTTCTTCTTTGGGAGAAGAGTGGGGCAGGGCAGGGGGAAGAGAAGGGTTTAAAAAATTCTTTTGAACTTGAAGATCCTCTTTCTTCCACCTCTTCAAGGTGAGGTTAGGAAAGAGGGTTGAAGATCTAGAGTTCATATTATAATCCGAGGAAAGTTACTCCATCTATTTGTGTCTCCATATCCTTGCGGATAAAATTGCGGGATGTTGCTAGTGATCATATCATCATCATCAGCTAACTTTACTGTAGTAAAGATGAAGAGATAAAATTTTTTTACAACTCAAAATGTATGTTTCTACAAACTAGAAGTAGCGTGATTGTGGCTTAGGGGACAGAGAAAGTTTTAGCCCAATAATAATGTTTTAATTTCTCAAAACCTAAAGGAAACAAAATTGATGGGAAATGGTAAGGGCAGAAATTATTGAAAAGAGCTAACACAAATTTGTATATAATGTAGACACTAACTCTTTGTGAAGAGTCATGGTAATTGTGGGGGCAGTTGTGGTTTTTTTCATTGCATTGATCTTGTGGAAATTAGTATTTGAGTGTGTTCCAGCAGTATACAGCGAAACTCCTGGAAGACCAGAGAATGATATTTGCCACACACACTGGAGAGACGCTGAGGCTCAAACCTGAGCGGCCGTGACCCCAAGTCAAGACTCTCATCAACCTTCCTGTTGGAGCCACACCATGCCCCCATATCTCCCGATACTCTCGTTCTATTAGTGTATCTGAACTTAGAGAAACATCCTGCCTGTAACCTCTGTATTTCCTTGACTCTGGCTGACACTTAGGTTTAGAGAGGCAGGTTTTGCTTCCTCCTGCACTGTTCTAAAACTCTGGAAACTCCCAGAACCCCAAGCATTTAGTTATTTAATGATAAGAAGCCCTTCTCCCCAGACACCACTTCTTTTTTGCCAAAGACCCAGAGAAAACATGATTAATCCCTTTCTAGGGGCAGCACCTGGAGAGACTCTCCCATGAATGGGTCCCCTCCTTCCCCCAGAACAAGGACATTGTCAGCTTCTCATCATTGTGTTTGTGATTTTACAATCTCCCCTAACATCAAAGTAGCTGACAGTAGCTAACAACTGGTTGGTCTAAACAGGTGTTCCTTCTACCATGGAGTCCAATCACAGCCCAGAGGAAGTGGCATTTGGATAAAGAATTTACCTTACTATCTATAAAACAGAGGGACTCTTAGTATCTATAAAACAGAGTTGTGTGTGTCCCTTTGCTCAGGGAGAGGAAAAGAAGGGACAGAGATGATGGTAGTTGATATTTCCAGTCTACCCTGAAGGAAAACAAAAATCTTGCAAAGTGCAAACCAAACTTCTCCCTCATCATTCTGAAAAACCATTCACTGCTAATTGGGAAAAGAAATTCAATGGCTTGTGCAACCCAGAAACACATATTTTTAGTAATGAGATTGCTCCTGTGTCCTAAGAGATCTGGCTTTCAAAAGCAGCCTGTGTTTGATCTCTAAAGCTATTCATGTCTAATTAGAGAAGAAATTCACTGGTATGCTGGGGAAGCACATTTTTTTACATAAGAAGGAAAAGATCAGTGTAGAACACTGCTTTTAACAAGATTACTTCATCTAATGAGGATCTTATTATGAATTTTAATGAAAATAGAAACAGTAACAAGGAAAATTAGAGGGCATTACAAAAGTCCTGTTGTTCCACAGAAAACTTACAGGAACCACACAAGGACAAAACAAGCCATCAGTAGCACATTGCTGTATGCGCTGCACTCGGGTTTATGAGAGACTATCTGTTAAGGTAAAGATGTGCTCAATGCATTGTCCAGAAAACGTCACTTACATGTGTATTTTCTCTTTAGCACAGTAATGCAACTGTTCAACCTATTTGATACAGATTTCTCCTATTCAGAAAAAGTTTCAACAACCTCACTTCTAACTTAAACACATATATCGACTAGCCTGGCCAATATGGAGAAACCCTGTCTGCTAAAAATACAAAAATTTGCTGGGCATGGTGGCAGGTGCCTGTAATCCCAGCTACTCAGGAGGCTCAGGCAGGAGAATTGCTTGAATCCAGGAGGTGGAGGTTGCAGTGAGCCAAGATCGTGCCATTGCATTCCAGCCTGGGCGACAAGAGCAAAACTCTGTCTCAAAAAATAAATAAATAAACAAAAAAACAAATGAATGAATAAACACATATATCACTGTCAAAATGAGAAACTTTCCTTCCCACATTGAAAGTCATTGGTGTTTTCCTTAAAAGCATTGCATCATGTTTGTATTCCTTAACAATCAAAAAGAACCATTGTCTGTCTGACTTTATGTTTCTTCTTTTCTAAATGAAAACATTTATAAAAATATTTAGGTGGATAAGTTGCCTATTGAAATTGTAATGTCCCTGAAGTATTGGTTAAGCTTAATTTATTCATATAAGTTTCAAGCCATTCAAAGGCCTATTTTTCTGGCAGAAAACTAAAGACAGAGCTGTTATTGTACCATCTGGTTTGCATGAGGAGTCTCTTGGCATCTCTTAACTGCATATTTTATAAATGCTAAATCCCAGATGGCATACATTGTAACAGTGAAGAGTTTTATAAAGGCTTCCAAAAACAAATTCTTTCAAATTTGAATACTGGATAGTCTAAGCAGGGCTAAGAATTTAAATTCTACACTTGATTCAACTGGCTTTGTTAGCTGAACAAGTTTCCCTTTTTTCTTATGTCTTTCCTCCTTAATTATTGGTTTTGTGACTTGAAGATTTCAATCCATGTAATTCTTCTGCCAACAGGTCCCCTCTATAACTCAAGTTCTAGAAAAACTGCAGGAACAACAATCATTGAAGAAAACCTGTGTTAGCTGCCATTTTGTTTCAAGATGGCAGAATTTACCACAAGGGAGGTGTGTTACAGCACCCATTAGCAGATCATCAAATACCATCAAAACTGTTCAACTCTCATGAAGCTGTGGTTGGACTGAGTGATATAGAATAAGGGGTTTATTGCAGAGATTAAGCTTATACCTGGTAGCCAGGTAAGCTGTCTAGTAAAGCTATTTCTTCTGCACCAGGTATTTAGACCCAAAGTCCAGAGGGCCAGCAATTGAGAAGTAAAAATGGAGGGAAAGTGAAGAAAAAGAACAAATTGGAACATACAGGGACAAAGTGGAACCCCAGAAAACAAAATGAAACCCATGCCTGTCTCTCACCAACCCCAACCTCCACAACACAGGTGTCTACAGGATAAGCTGTCACCTTTCACCATAGACAGAGCTGCAAACGCAGCTGGCCTAGGATTCAAAGAAGCTGAAGGGGGAGATCTGGAGGGAGAGGGAGGACCTGCAGGTTTGCCTCCTGCCCATTCCCACAAGGTGAGCAGCAGCTTAGCCACAATATGCATGGTCTCCATGGCTTTGGAGGTTATAGGCTCATGGTTGATTGGATAAATACGGCCAGAGATAGGTCTTGTTTGGCAGGTGCAGGATTTTGAAAATATTTTTAACATTAAACAACAACAGTAAAATTGAGGAAATTTAATGGAATCTGGATATTCAGCTTCCAGATGAGAAACTGAAGATTATGACAATAACCTCAGCCTGAGCTGAGCAGTTATTTCTCTATATGCGGCCTGGATTCAACAATCCACCTCACCTCCAGCTGCCCAGAGCTGTAATCCTGACCCTGAGGGCAACAGTTAGTCACTTGCCGTTCTTATCACACTAAAGCCATTTCCTTGCACCCAACTGACTTTACTCAAATACAGTATTTGCTTTGTTCCAATAACCATGTCTAATGGCCTTTTGAGTGTGACAATGTCCTATCAGTTCCTCTCACATCAGTTACATCCTAACCCTCCCTCATTTCCTTCTGCACCAATCAGTCACCAAATACATATTGTGCACCTATGTGAAATCTCTTCTAGTCCCCATTTACAGCATTTCTACCAAACTCTCAAGCATTACAAAGGCTGTTCTCTTGGGGATGTGGGGATATTTACACCTGCACTTATAGGGTTATAAAACTTAAGCAAACTTGCGTATGGCCCAATTGCAGCTGAATTACTGATTAGTAGAAAGAACACACACACACTTGCAGGATGATTTTCCAGGTTAGCCAAGGATACAGAAGTGGCTACACAGAGCACAATTAGCTGCTATGTGTTTTAGTAACACTTTATCCTGCTCCCATAGTGCCATTGCTATGTGGGCACTTTGTAGCAGGAGCGGCCACAAGAAACAGAGCTCTCGAGCACCGAACAGAAAGGAAGGAGTTTATTATTATTATTATTATTATTATGGCCGGGAGCCGGGCAATGATTTGTCTTAACAATGAGAGGCTCTGCCTTTATATAGGCTTATACTCTAGATATTACACGTGAAAGAATCTCAGGTTTACAGCCTTAGAAATTACAGGTGAAAGGGTTTTGGGTTTACAGCTCCAGTCTCGGGTTTACAGTTTTAGAAATCACATATAAAAGGGTTTTGGGTTTACAGCTCTACTCTTGGGTTTACAGTTTTAGAAATCACATATGACAGGGTTTTGGGTTTACAGCTTTAGGAACTACAAGTGAAAGGTTTCTGGTCTCCGGATGGAGGAGCGGGGTGGAGGTTTGATCTTGTTTAAGTAAAAACAGTGTCTTCCGGAGAGATTTCCCAATACCAAGCATTCTATTTACAGGAAGGTGATTCAGGAGGCACCAGTCAGCCAGCCTTTTCTTCTATTGAAATGCAGTGTGGAAATCAAGGGGGAGGTGATCCCAGATGTCTGGGTCTCCTTCCTCACCTTACACACTCTCTGAACAAGTGGAGTCCTGCCATAGTTAAAAACAGCAGCTTAGGTCAGATGCAGTGGCTCATGCCTATAACCCCAGCACTTTGGGAGGCCCAGGCGGGCAGATCACCTGAGGTTGGGAGTTCGAGACCAGCCTGACCAACATGGAAAAACCCCATCTCTACTAAAAATACAAAATTAGCTGGGCATGGTGGCTCATGCCTGTAATCCCAGCTACTTGGGAGGCTGAGGCTGAAGAATTGCTTGAACCTGGGAGGCAGAAGTTGCAGTGAGCTGAGATCACGCCACTGGACTCCTGCCTAGGTAACAAAAGTGAAACTCCCTCTCAAAACAAAACAAAAAAACCCAGCAGCTATATCACTGCCCTTTTATATGCAAGCTACTCTAGAAAAACATATGTATATACACGCATGCATGCACACACACACATATACATACCACTCATCTCTTTCAAATATCAACTTCTCTTGGTTCTTGAAACAACCTCAGCATAGGCAAAGCCACATACCCATCGAGGATAAAGACAACCAAATCAGTATCCAGGTCTTCTCAAACAAGTAGAAGAACACTTCAGAGCTCGAAGAAAAGGCTTTCGAGTTAAGCCAATCCAACAAAGACAAAGAAAAAAAGATTTTAAAAATGAACAAAATCTCTAAGAAGTTTGGGCGTATGTTAAATGACTAAACCTAAGAATAACTGGTGTTCCTGAGGAAGAAGAGAAATCTAAAAGTTTGAAAAACATATCGGAGGGAATAATTGAGGAGAACTTCCCTGGCCTTCTTACAGATCTAGGCCTCCAAATACAAGAAGCTCAAAGAACACCCAGGAAACTCATCATAAAAAGATTATCATGTAGGCACATCAGGTTATCTAAAGTCAAAATAAAGGAAATCATCTTAAGAGCTGTGAGGCAAAAGCATCAGGTAAACTATAAAGGAAAAACTATCAGATTGACAGCAGATTTCTCAGCAGAAACCCTACAGGGTAGAAGGGATTGGGGTCCTGTCTTTAGCCTCCTTAAACAAAACAATTATCAGCCAAAAATTTGGTATCCATTGAAACTAACTTCATAAATGAAGGAAAAACAGTCTTTTTCAGACAAACAAATGCTGAGATAATTAGCCACTACTAAGCCAGCACCACAAGAACTGCTAAAAGGAATTCTAAATCTTGAAACAAATTCTCAAAATATGCCAAAATAGAACTTCCTTAAGGCATAAATCTCAAAAACACAATGAAAAAAAAAAAAAAAAAAAAAAAGAAAAACCAACACAAGTTATTCAGGCAACAACTAGCACAATGAATAGAATAGTGCTTCATTTCTCAATATCAACGCTGAATGTAAATGGCCTAAATGCTCTACTTAAAAGATATAGAATGGCAGAATGAGTAAGAATTCAGCAACCAAGTATCTGCTGTCTTCAAAAGACTCATCTAACATGTAAGGACTCACATAAACTAAAGGTAAAGGGGTGAAAAAGGACGTTCCATGCAAATGGACATAAAAAGTGAGCAGGAGTAGCTGTTCTTCTGTCAGTCAAAACAGACCTTAAAGCAACAACAGTTAAAAAAGACAAAGAGGCTAGGCACAGTGGCTCACGTCTATAATTCCAGCACTTTGGAAGGCTGAAGTGAGCAGATCACCTGGGGTCAGGAGTTTGAGACCAGCTTGGCCAACATGGTGAAACCCCATCTCTACTAAAAAATCAAAAATTAGCTGGGCATAGTGGCATGCTCCTGTAGTCCCAGCTACTTGGGAGGCTGAGGCAGGAGAATCGCTTGAACCTGGGGGCAGAGGTTACAGTGAGCAGAGATCATGCCACTGCACTCCCGCCTGGACAACAGAGCAAGACTCCATCACACACAAAAAAGGACAAAGAGGGACATTATATATGGTAAAGGACTAGCCCAAAAGGAAACCATCACAATCTTAAATATATATGCATCAAACACTGGAGCACCCAAATTTATAAAACGATTACTACTAGACCTAATAAATGAGATAGATAAAACAATAATAGCGGGGACTTCAATACTCCAATGACAGCCCTAGACAGGTCATCAAGACAGGAAGTCAACAAAGAAACAATGGACTTAAACTATACCTTAGAACAAATAGAACTTAACAGATATTTACAGAACATTTTACCCAACAACTATAGAATATACATTGGATTCATCAGCACATAAAGCATTCTCCAAGATAGATCACATAATAGGCCAAAAAACAAGTCTCAACAAATTTAAGGATGGGCATGGTGGCTCACACCTGTAATCCCAGTACGTTGGGAGGCTGAGGTGGGTGGGTCACCTGAGGTCAGAAGTTTGAGACCAGCCTGGCCAACATAGTGAAATCCCATATCTACTAAAAATACAAAAATAACCAGGCATTCTGGTGAATGCCTGTAATCCTAGTTACTCACGGGGCTGAGGCAGAAGAATTGTTTGAACCCAGGAGGCAGAGGCTGCATTGAGCTGAGGTCACCTCACTGCACTCCAGCCTGGGTGAGGGAGTGAAGCTGTCTCAAAAAAAAACAAAAAACAAAAAAAAACCCACCAAATTTAAGAAAATCCAAATTATAGCAAGTACTGTCTCAGAGCACAGTGGAATATAATTGGAAATTAGCTCCAAAAGGAACCCTCAAGATAATGCAAATACATGGACATTAAATAAGCTGCTCCTGAATGATTGTTGGGTCAACAATGAAATCAAGATGGAAATTAAAAAATTCTTCAAACTGGACAATAATGGTGACACAACCTACAAAGCAAGCCCAAACCCAGCAGAAGAAATAAGAACTAAATGAAATTGAAAGGGAAAAAATGCAAAAGATAAATGAAACAAAAAGCTTGTTCTTTGAAAAGATAAATAAAATTGATAGACTTCTAGTGAGATTAACCAAGAAATGAAGACAGAAGATCCAAATAAGCTCAATTAGTAATGAAGTGGAGGTATTACAACTGATGCCACAGAAATACAAGAGATCATTCAAGGCTACTATGAACACCTTTACACACACAAACTAGAAAAACACAGAGGAGATGGATAAATTCCTGGAAACATACAGCTCTCCTAGATTAAACCAAGAAGAGACAGAAACTCTGAACAGACCAATAACAAGCAGCAAGATAGAAATGGTAATAAAAACAAGGCCAAGAAAAAAAATCCAGGACCAAATGGATTCACAGTTGAATTCTATCAGACATGCAAAGAATTGGCATCAATCCGATTGACACTATTCCACAATATAGAAGAAGAGGAAAACCTCCTTAAATCATTCTACAAACCCTAATACCAAAACCAGGAAAGGACGTAACAAAAAAAGAAAACAACAAACCGATATTCTTGATGAGCATAGACATGGAAAACCTCAACAAAATACTAGTTAAGTGATTCCAATAGCATATCAAAAAGATAATCCACCATGATCAAGTGGGTTACATACCCGAGCTGCAGGGATGATTGAGTGGCTGGGCTCACTCATTCATCACTAGTTAACTAGCAAGTCAGCTGAGGATTGGTCACTCTAGGATGGCACCAGGTTTGATGCCCTGTCTCTGCCTTTTGAGATTGTTCATTATCTACAGATTAGCCTGGGCTTGTTCTCATGGTAACAGCAGGGTGTATGAGGCCTCTTGAGACCTAGTCTCAGAAATGGCACATGATCATTCCCATCACATTCTATGGGCCAAAGCAAGTCACAAGGCCTGCTAGATTTTGGTGGTTGGGGTGGTGAAACCTAAGTTGACAAGAATGGCATGCCAGACTGGGGACAGAAATGTAGCTACAATTAAGCATTAATCAGGCTGCACTTTGGTCCACTTTCTTGTTGCTGAAAGTTGCATAGCACTAGATACTGACCATTTGCTTCCCCATTGTTCCTACAGATAGGATCTCTGACATTAGGGTCATGAGACTGTTTAAGAATTTATTTGCATCTCTGTTGTTCCTATAGACAGGTTCTCTGACATCAGAATCTAAGGCTTTTTGCTTAAGGATAACTTAAGAGATTTTTCAGACTCCAAATTCCAGCAACCATTTTTCTTTTGAGACAGTTTCATTCTTGTCACGCAGGCTGGAGTGCAGTGGTGTGATCTCAGCTCACTGCAGCCTCCATCTCCTGGGTTCAAGCAATTCTCTTGCCTCAGCCTCCCAAGTAGCTGGGATTACAGGCGCCCACCACCATGCCCAGTGAATTTTGTATTTTTAGTAAAGACAGGGTTTCACCACAATGGCTAGGCTGGTTTCTCCTGACCTCAGGTGATCCCCCTGCCTCAGCTTCCCAAAGTGTTGGGATTTCAGGCATAAACCCCTGCTCCTGACCTTTTTTTTTTTTTTTTTTTTTAATTGAGGCAGAGTCTTGCTCTGTCACCCAGGCTGGAGTGCAGTGGTTCAGTTAGAAACAAATTTTCAGTGCTACAAAAGAAATAGCACTTGAACATGAATTTTCTCAGCAAGGCAAATGTTCTTCTATAAAGGATGTGTCTCAGGAATGGAATAGTGGCAAGAGCACACTGAACAAGGGAAGAGAAGGGGTTGTTATCCCTAACACAGCTAGTCCCTACTGCTGTGTCATTCCCCCATTGGTTTGGTTTGGACAGCACAGTCTAAGCTTATTCTGATTGGTTAAAAAGAGCAGGGGTATGAACCAGAGTGGCAGGTGAGTAGTTTCCATGGGAAGGACAGTTACAGAGCAGGTGACTAAGGATTACTAAGTACAGAGCAGATGACTAGGGATGATGAAGGACTCCAAATATGTGAGTATAGAGGTTAGGAGGGGGTTGTTTACTGGAACTAGGGGCAAGGAGGTATAAAGAATGAGGAAGTTACACTTTAAAATGGAGAACAAAAACAGAGAAACTGAACATACTGACATATTGGTTCTTTGAAGAGAAACTCAGAACTCATTGTACTTAACAATTTTCCCCCTCTTGAATTTTAAAGGAAGTTAACAGGCTAAACCTTTGAAGAGGAATTTACTGTATCCTACAGTGTGATTTCGACTCACTGCAACCTCTGCCTCCTGGATTCAAGCAATTCTCCTGCTTCAGTCTCCTGAGTAGCTGGGATTATAAAAAATATAGGAGCACACTACCATGCTTGGCTAATTTTTTGTATTTTTAGTAGAGACGGGGTCTCACCATGTTGGCCAAGGTAGTCACAAACTCCTGACCTCAAATGATCTGCCTGCCTTGGCCTCCTAAAGTGCTAGGATTATAGGCATGAGCCACCATGCTCTGCCTTCCAGCAACCATTTTGAGGACTGTCCCCTCCCCTGCCCAGAGAATGGGATCACTGTCATGAAAATAGTTTCTTCATCTCCCTGTCCCATGTCTTTACCCCACACTCTACCAATCAATGATCTCCATACATTGGTCCATTCCAAAATCCTTAAAAACTCTAGCTCCAGCTGGGCACAGTGGCTCACACCTGTAATCCCAGCACTTTGGGAGGCTGAGGTAGGTAGATCATGAGGTCAGGAGTTCAAGACCAGCCTGGCCAAGATGGTAAAATCCCATCTCTACTAAAACTACAAAAATTAGCTGGGCATGGTGGCAGGCACCTGTAATCCCAGCTACTTAGGAGACTGAGGCAGGGAACTGCTTGAACCCGGGAGGTGGAGGTTGCAGTGAGCGGAGATTGTGCCACTGCACTCCAGTCTGCGCGACAGAGGGAGATTTCGTCTCAAAAAAAAAAAAAAAAAAACCAGCCCCAAACTCCTCAGGGAGATGAATTTGAGGTTTCCTCCCATCTCCTCATTCGATGACCCTATGATTAAACCTCTTTCTCTGCTGCAACCCAGTGTCTCAGAGTATTGACTTGCTGTGGGTATTGGGCAATTGACCTATTATGATTACAGTGGTGGTAAAGTAGGCTGACTGCAAAGGCACATTACAAAGGGTAGGAGCACAGAGAAGGGTGCAAGATTGAGACTTTAGCACTCAATCTACTGCATCACTCTAAGAACTTCAATACTGAACATACCTTATATTCTATCAACTAAAAGAAATATGCTACATTGCTAAGAGTAACCATTCCCTAACTACTTAGCCATAGGGTCATTTGTGTTAACATTTGTAAGTAAATGAATTCTTATTTAGAACGTCTCCACTGGGCACGGAAATCCCCGCACTTTGGGAGGCCGAGGCAGGTAGACCATGTGAGGTCAGGAGTTCGAGACCAGCCTGGCCAAAATAGTGAAACACCATCTCTACTAAAAATACAAAAAATTAGCCAAGTGTGGTGGCACATGCCTGTAATCCCAGCTACTTGGGAGGCTGAGGCAAAAGAAACTCTTGAACCCAGGAGGCAGAGGTTGCAGTGAACTGAGATCACAGCACTGCATTCCAGCCTGGGTGACAGAGCAAGACTCGTCTCAGAAAAAATAATAATAATAAAAAAAAGAACTTCTGGGCCTTCTGTCTTCTGAATATTGATACTGCCTTATCTTTATATTTATAGATCAATAAAGCTTTCATCCTAGTTCTTTCTGAATTTATTACTGTCAGAAGGCTCATTTGACTTGGATCTGCCTAAAGGACCCAAGGAGAAAACAACATTAACATTGTATATTAGATTGGTGAAGGAACTACCATATGATGTTCAAGAACATTCTCCTTGACATAGTCTATCTTATTTTTCCAAGTTAAATTTATATTTGATATTTGAAAGCTATTTTGAGCTGCATTAGCATAAATGGGAGAAGTTTTTATATTATTTATCTTATATTCTAAATTCTAGTTAATGTCATCTTGTACTTTTAAAGACAAGTGAACTGCAAGAGAAGCAGAGTTTTAAAACACCACATGCACACACACACACACACACACACACACACACACACACAGAGAGAGAGAGAGAGAGAGAGAAAGGGAGGGAGAGAGAGAGAGAGAAAATCAAAATGAATTAGAAAAGGCAGGAGTGGCATCAGGAAACCTGGTTTCTCACTGGAGTTCTGTGTGCTACTAACTTGGTAAATGACCTGGAGCAAGTCACTAAACCTCTCTACATATTAAACCTTTTAATATCTTCATTTTACAATAGGGAGTTGGACTTTGTTTCAAAGCCTCAAGCTCTGGATCCATTCATTTCAGCATTTACCTTTATGCTACTGAGTTTTCATCCTTGAACCTTAGACTCTGTAGCTTATGTAGATCACTCAGAAATCGGTCAAAATTATATTAAAAAAAATTTTTTTTGGCCAGGTATGATGACTCATGCCCATAATCCCAGCAATTTGGGAGGCCAAGGCAGGTGGATCATCTGAGGTCAAGAGTTCAAGACCAACATGGTGAAACACCATCTCTACTAAAAATAGAAAGCTTAGCCAGGTGTGGTGGCACATGCCTGTAGTCCCAGCTACTGGGGAGACTAAGGCACAAGAATAGCTTGGACCTGGCAGGCAGAGGTTGCAATGAGCAGAGATCGTGCCATTGCACTTCAGCATGGCAGCAGAGTGATACTCTGTCTTAAAAATATAAATAAATAAATAATAGTTAAGAGACAGGGTCCTGACATGGTGTCCAAGCTGGTTTTGAATTCCTGGCCTCAAGTGATCTTCTTGTAAGGTCTTTTAGGCTAACTGACGGCACCATGGACACCATGTTAACCTCTGTGACTTGCAGACACCCCAGATGAGTTCCTGAAAAGTCTGAAGTAACTGGAAAACCACAAAAGGAGAAAGAATGATCAACCCCTGCAGTACCTAATTAACTTGAAACATTCTCTATTGTTCCTTATTCCTGCTTCAATTGATAAGGCAATTGGACTTTGTAACTGACCTTGGTCAGCCTCCTGACTCCAGATCCTATGACTCCCTCCTCCCAGCTTGCAAAACCACACTGAACTGTAATTTCTGTAACTTTCCACTGCCTATCCCAAACCTATGAAACCAACTCCTATCCCACTACCCTCCCACTACCTTCCAATGACTCTTTTTGGACTCCCCGCCCATACCCTAGTGAATAAACAGCCATGTTGCTCACACAAAGCCTGCTTGGAGGGGTCTCTTCATTCAGAGCACACGTTTGAACAATTCTAGCCTCAGCCTCCCAAAGTGATGAGATTACAGGCGTGAGCCACCATGCCCAGTCTATAACGATTTAGTTGGTTATTTTATCACTAAAGCAATTCAACCAAAACAGAGGTGAACAGAGTTGTTGCAGACTCATCAATGCACCTTAATGTAGCAGTTTCTTATTGTCTGAACTAATACCCCAAGTTCTTTGTCCTATCTCCAAGAAAATTAAGGAATGTGGACACAAAGGTGGGGTTGGAGCGAAAGTTTAATAAGTGAAAGAGGCCGGGTGTGGTGGCTCACACCTGTAATTCCCGAATTTTGGGAGGCCGAGGTGGGTAGATAACCTGAGGTCAGGAGCCTGAGACCAGCCTGGCCAACATGGAGAAACTCCATTTCTACTAAAAATACAAAATTAGCCAGGCATGGTGGCACATGCCTGTAATCCCAGCTACTTGGGAGGCTAAGGCAGGAGAATCTCTTGAACTCGGGAGGCAAAGTTTGCAATGACCTGAGATCACACCATTGTACTCCAGCCTGGGCAACAAGAGTGAAACTCCATGTCAAAATAATAATAAGTGAAAGAAAAAAGCTCTCTGCAGCAGGGGAGTCCAAGTGGATTGCCGAGTTACAGCTGAACTGAAAAGCTTTTTAAAGAACCTCCTCTCTCATCTCTAGCAGTTTGAGTAACTTATCAGCAAAGCTGTCTGTGCAACGCCCCCTATTTTACGCAGCTGTGGGTATGTACCTAGGCAAGCATAAAGCCTGCTTCTCTTGTTTTAATAATTGTGGGTTTGTTTTAGGTAAGCACCCCTATTCCCTGTGTAAGTTCCCACCATGCATCACTAATCTAAGTTGCTTATCTTTTTGCAGGTGCAGCCTGAGGTTTTCCCAAATGATTTTTCCTTTCCCTCTCTCTCAAAGTCAAAAAAGCATGAGTTACTTATTCTCTTAGAGGGTGAAGGAGGAAAACTCCCACCTTTGCACTCTGAAGGTTCACTGAAAAACTGACCAAAGGCAGATGAATAGGAGAAAAATGCATACAAAGTTATTAATGTGTAGGGAAGGGAGGTGGAAATCACAGAGTGATTGCCCCTAACCCCTCAGTGAGGTACAGATGCATATATACAGTTTTTCATCGAGGAGGAAGGAGATGGGGACTGTAGACAATTCTTTTGAGGGGCAGTAATGATTATTAGGGAGAATAAACAGAACAGGGAAAGAGAAATTAACTTGTACATAATTATCTTTGGAATTTGAATGGGCTTCAGAGGCTGACATTACCTTGTGGAAAAGTCTGTCCATGTGTGGTTGCATTACTTAGTCTTCTAAGAATCATTTTTGTGAAGACATTAGTTTTTCCTACCTGTTAGGAGGCACTGTTTTACGGAGCAGCTATTTCTTCCTTGTGTTCAAAGTCAGCTGCCGAACACAGTGTAGCTTCCTGCTTTTCCGGAGCAGAATCCTAGACATCGATGCTCATGGGCCTGGAGCCATTTGTTCAATGACTGTCCCTAGGGCACCACAGGTCTGGGTTAGGTGGAACAAACAAAACCAATCTCTGGTGCATGCACCAGCTTCCCCAGCTCACAGCCGGCATTCTCACCACATCTCCTGCTTGGGGTCTCTGTGCTGCCCCTTAAACTTTTAGAAACCCATACTTTGGGGGCTCTGACAAAAGCTGCCCCCTTCCAAGGCAAAAACTTCCCACTCTGGAGAAAAGACAGCGTCCTGAGGGGAATGAGGTGGGGAATGAGGTGGGGAGGGAGGTGGGGTCAAGGGAGGCTGAATAAGCACATTAACCCATCACTTCTCTGATCACCTTCTCAACAGGGCTCTGAGTCTCACGTCTTCGCTCCTTTTTCCTCTAACGTCTCATCAGAGTCTTCACTGTTGTGGTAATAAATTACATTTGTAGAAAAAGTGCCATTTTTCGGAAAATACTCATAAAAGGAGAAACTATTGCTATCATGCTTTGGCTGTAAAATGAGATCCTTTTACCATCTCTATCCCCAAAAACTTTTCCGTATTTTGCCCCCTCTCCCCAATTCCTCTGGGATATAATCTACTCCATCCTATAAAGAGTTAACCACTGGGCACCACAGATGTTCTCACCTCACTCCCTCCAGGTATTTTCCAGGTTTTCCTGATCATAAGAATCACCTGCAGTGCTCATTAAACAAACTACCCAGGCACATCCTCAGGAGAGTCCAATTCAGCAGCTCTTGCCGGGGGGGAGGACCCAGAAATCTCTGATATTAATGAGAGCTCCAGGTGACCCTTTTGATCAAGGAAGTCAGGGAAACGCTACGATAATCTACGATGTTATTTCAGATGCCTCAGGGTCCACCTCAAAGGCAACACATGAATGAATACTGTTTAGGTTGGTGCAAAATTGACTGCAGTTTTGGCCATTAAAAGTAGTGACAAAGGGTTGGGCACAGTGGCTTATGCCTGTAATGCCAGCACTTTGGGAGGCCAAGGTAAGTGGATCACTTAAGATCAGGAGTTCGAGCCCAGCCTGGCCAACATAGTGAAACCCAGTCTGTACTAAAAATACAAAAATTATCTGGGTGTGGTGATGCACACCTGTAATCCCAGCTACTGGGGAGGCTGAGGCAGGAGGATCGCTTGAACCCGGGAGGCAGAGGTTGCAGTGAGCTGAGATTGTGCCACTGCACTCCAGCCTGAGCAACAGAGTGAGACTCCATCTCAAAAAATAAATACATAAATAAAAGTAGTGGCAAAAACCACAATCACTTTTGCACCAACCTAATAATTGCAAATGTCACCCACTACTTGTATGGAATCTAGCATTATATTCACCTATTTTGGAACATGGGCTGCAGACATCTAGTTATCTCAAAGAGCAATGAGAGATGTTGAAAAAATAAATCGATCAGCCCTCAGGAAATCTGAGTTTTCCACCTGGCCCCTGATATTGTTTGGGCAAATTGCTTTGCTTCAGTTTCCTCATCAGGAAACTTCCAAGTGCTTTACAACCACATAACATTCTTGTTTATTTCGATCACTACTCCCTTTTACCCAGTTATACTTTCAGGAATTTA